ATTATTATTATTATTATTATTATTATTATTGTCATTATTACTGTTATTGTTGTCATTATTATTATTACCATTATCATCATTGCCTTTATTACTGTTCTTTCTTACAAACAACCTATTGATGTAACAATAAATAAAACAAAAAACAACAATAGAAAAGAACATCGATACCAAAAATCACACTGACGGTCATTCCAGCAGTTTTTAGCATTGAATTTTCAGCTTCAAAAGTAATTATAAAAGTTTTATCCCATCAACTGCCACAAAAAGTAACTACTATAAAGCAAAATTACAGAACTTTTTTTTTCTAACACATGACGCACAATAACTGCTTAATCTAAAAATAATTTATCTCTTGAACCTAAAGAAAAACAATTTCCGTAATCTATTTGAAGTTTTAAAAACTACAGTCTTTACCGGTCTACCTTACAATCCCCTTAATCACTCCATTTCATCTTCGCTGTCCCCTCCTCGCCGTTAGCCCTCTCCACATCAATTTCAGAAGGCAACAAACCAACAGCGATATAGAATTGAAGAAGAAAATGGAAATATGAAACGACTTCAACTCAACAACAATAAATTTGCGGTAATTTTCTGTTGTATTTTAAAATAGAAAACCACTTGCCAACTAATTTGGCCAAATAATTAATTCACTTAATTATCAGACCCTTAGATGACTACAACAAGAGAAGATTGCCAACATTGTGAAGCAGCTATAACCATACTGATGCCAACTGAATACCACTGATGTTAGCAGTGATAAACCAGTAAAAGCAGTTGAAAACGAATACTTCAATTAGCGCATTAATACGATTGAAATTTTTTTATTGTAACAGTAAAGATTATTTTCCATACTCAATCAGGTTTGATTTTGCATAATATCGTCGAGTATGTAAAGTAATTTAATTATCGGTAAAAATCTGTAAAAAAAAATATATATTTTCATCAACTCAAAAGGCAAAAAAAAATTCATTTTCTTGACAAAAATACTGTACAGTAGTAGAACAAAATAACTGAAATTATTCTCAGACAAAAAGAAATATTTTGTAGACAAGTTGATCGCATATTCTTTTTTTTTTTTAAATTCCATAAATATTACCTACCTTTAGCACAAAAATATTTCAGATTTAAATTTTAAAATTTACTCTAAATATAAAAAATCAGAAACAAATAATAAAATGCATAGAAATAATAACAAATAATCGTCAGGTTTTAGAAACTTTGATAAATAAAATAAAACAAAATAAAACAAAGCTAAAAAAAAGAAAAAAAGAAAACTCAATTTTTGAATGTATTAAACAATTAAAAAGTACCTGAAA